CACTACACCCAGCTCTTACTTCCTTCCCTTTCAACCCAATACCTCACAGCTCGTATGTCCAATTTGTCTATAATACATTTTATGATTTTAATTAATCTTAACTATATTTGCTTGTTCCACTCTTTGTCAGGTTGAGTGCTGTGATTGCACTGTACTTCCTCAAATGTTAAAAGGTTAGTTTGTGCACATACTGCTACTGTATGCCTACTTCACTCCAAATGATGCACAGTGGGATCTGGTGACAGCTATTTCACTCCTACTGGGTTGCCAAGACCAGAAGTACGTCATTGCCACATCAGGAGGGCAGTAGGATCGCTGTGTCATGTTAAGTCTCATTCCCCAGAGTCTGAGGTCAGCGGGGGCTACCTAGTAACTCATACTTACTGTAGGGCCACTCAGACAGTATCTAGAGCAAAGCTCTATTCACAACCTTCGCAGCAGTGTTTGTGTATCCCAGTCATTAAAGCTGTAACTATACAGGTTTAGCAGCTGTAGGTTATTCTGTTTGATTTGAATGTACTTCACAGGTATGTGTTCTGTTCAAGTCATGTCTGGAGGCTAAAGGAACTTCTGTCAGGTCCTACTTAACCCACACAGGACAAGTCAGAAGATACTGTAGGTCTTCCATCATCATCATCACCACCATCATCATCTGAACATTGTCTCAGTGTTCTCTCCATGTCAGCGTTTTGTTCAGAGATAGTGTTTTAGGAGGCTGGGCTCTCGGGAAGAGAACTCCTCACAGACAGATGGGAGATTCTTCTCCTGGACAGTGCTACTCTCTAAAATGACCTCAATTTTAACTGAGCATTCCACTCACACCTCCTTCTTTCCCTAGTCTAAAATAAAATATACAATAAAAGCAAGTTGTCCTTTGGGTTTGCATAATGTTTCTCACCTAAAACTATTGGCAAAGAGCAAAATGTTATTTTCACACACAGCACTTGTTGCAAGGGGCTTGTAGACTACTGTTTCTGGAAGAAGGGGAATAGGGAGAGAAATTAGAGAGCAATGAGAGTTCTCATTTGTAAATGCAGAGTTTATACAGTGGGGAAAAAAAGTATTTAGTCAGCCACCAATTGTGCAAGTTCTCCCACTTAAAAAGATGAGAGAGGCCTGTAATTTTCATCATAGGTACACGTCAACTATGACAGACAAAATGAGAAAAAGAAATCCAGAAAATCACATTGTAGGATTTGTAATGAATTTATTTGCAAATTATGGTGGAAAATAAGTATTTGGTCAATAACAAAAGTTTCTCAATACTTTGTTATATACCCTTTGTTGGCAATGACACAGGTCAAACGTTTTCTGTAAGGTTTTCACACACTGTTGCTGGTATTTTGGCCCATTCCTCCATGCAGATCTCCTCTAGAGCAGTGATGTTTTGGGGCTGTCGCTGGGCAACACGGACTTTCAACTCCCTCCAAAGATTTTCTATGGGGTTGAGATCTGGAGACTGGCTAGGCCACTCCAGGACCTTGAAATGCTTCTTACGAAGCCACTCCTTCGTTGCCCGGGCGGTGTGTTTGGGATCATTGTCATGCTGAAAGACCCAGCCACGTTTCATCTTCAATGCCCTTGCTGATGGAAGGAGGTTTTCACTCAAAATCTCACGATACATGGCCCCATTCATTCTTTCCTTTACACGGATCAGTCGTCCTGGTCCCTTTGCAGAAAAACAGCCCCAAAGCATGATGTTTCCACCCCCATGCTTCACAGTAGGTATGGTGTTCTTTGGATGCAACTCAGCATTCTTTGTCCTCCAAACACGACGAGTTGAGTTTTTACCAAAAAGTTCTATTTTGGTTTCATCTGACCATATGACATTCTCCCAATCCTCTTCTGGATCATCCAAATGCACTCTAGCAAACTTCAGACGGGCCCGGACATGTACTGGCTTAAGCAGGGGGTCATGTCTGGCACTGCAGGATTTGAGTCCCTGGCGGCGTAGTGTGTTACTGATGGTAGGCTTTGTTACTTTGATCCCAGCTCTCTGCAGGTCATTCACTAGGTCCCCCCGTGTGGTTCTGGGATTTTTGCTCACCGTTCTTGTGATCATTTTGACCCCACGGGGTGAGATCTTGCGTGGAGCCCCAGATCGAGGGAGATTATCAGTGGTCTTGTATGTCTTCCATTTCCTAATAATTGCTCCCACAGTTGATTTCTTCAAACCAAGCTGCTTACCTATTGCAGATTCAGTCTTCCCAGCCTGGTACAGGTCTACAATTTTGTTTCTGGTGTCCTTTGACAGCCCTTTGGTCTTGGCCATAGTGGAGTTTGGAGTGTGACTGTTTGAGGTTGTGGACAGGTGTCTTTTATACTGATAACAAGTTCAAACAGGTGCCATTAATACAGGTAACGAGTGGAGGACAGAGGAGCCTCTTAAAGAAGAAGTTACAGGTCTGTGAGAGCCAGAAATCTTGCTTGTTTGTAGGTGACCAAATACTTATTTTCCACCATAATTTGCAAATAAATTCATAAAACATGTGATTTTCTGGATTTATTTTTCTCAATCTGTCTGTCATAGTTGACGTGTACCTATGATAAAAATTACAGGCCTCTCTCATCTTTTTAAGTGGGAGAACTTGCACAATTGGTGGCTGACTAAATAATTTTTCCCCCCACTGTATGTGTACTACTGAGTGCAATATTCTGTAAAAACACACTGCAATATGCAGGTCCTCAAGCCCTCATGACAAATCAGTTTGATCTTATTTGCTTTCATTAATCTCTTAGCAGGCTTTAAAATGTTAAACATGCAGCATTTTCTTTGATGAATTACTGAAGATTAAAAAACCCATTCTCCAGAGACACCAGTGCTGCCAGTTGCCGAGCCAACAAAAACACACCCTAATCCTATAATCTGTTTTAAAAAACTTAAGACACAGCACACAGAAACATACTGGGAAAAGTTGACATGTCACCAGCTGCAGAAAATGTTCCCTTCCCATTACATCTGTATATCACATCTATAAATCGAGAGAGACAGAAGAGTTCCCGAAGAAGCAGCACAGGGGAGGAATAGAATAACATGAGTATTTGTTGATCAAGCATTTATGAGGACACAATGGTCATTTCACGGGGGTGATGGAACACTCTTCTTAAAGCCCCAGTGCAGTCAAAAATGTGATTTTCCTGTGTTTTATATATATTTCCATACTATGAGGTTGTAATTGTGAACATAATGATAATGCCATTTTAGTGTAAGAGCTGTTTGAAAAGACAGCCTGAAATTTCAGCCTGTTGTGGTGGGATGGAGTTTTGGCTTGTCTGGTGACATCACCAGGCGGTAAATTAGTAGACCAATAACAAAGACAGTTCCAAACCTCTCTGCCAATAACAGCTAGTTTTCAGTTTCCCCCTCCCCACTCAGACCACTCCCAGACAGTCCTAGCAAAAGTCTTGCTTAAGAAATTGATCTTTGCTAAGAAGCTATTTTTGTTTCTTTTTGACCATTTAAATTTAAAACAATCACAGTAAGGTACTTAATTGTTACCCAGAAATGATTTCATACGGCGATAAAAACTGCCGCATTGGACCTTTAAGTCAGAGACTCTCACAGTTTCTAAGTAGCCATCAATCTTTGATATGTCATATCAGAATACATGTTTCAATGGGATGACATACAACATTCCATCAGACAAGCAGTAACTGTATGTTTTATAAAATATAAACAGATCCGAGCCATGGGAATTTGCGAATGGCAGATCTAGTAGAATATAACTTGTTTTAGCATATAAAGGTCATTCTGACTAGACATTCCAACTCTTAGGGAGTCAATATGGAGCCTCCACACAACAATGGCTCTTGTTTGTGACTTAAAAGTATTTGTGCTGTATATTCATCTTAGTCTACATACCAGGCAGTTTCCCAAGCCCATGCCATGAATGCTCAATAGTTGTAGCATAATGTGGAATTGATGACTTATCTCCCCCAAATGAAAAAACAACAGGGATAGCTTAGCCAGAGATTTTTTCACCTGTGGTATTTGAGTAGCATGTTGCAGTTTACTAAAGTCTCATAATTCATACTTTACTGTTATGCCTCTGTTTTGATACACAAAACATTTTCCAGACGTCACATAAAGACCTCTCAACCTCTAAAACAGGGCCAAGCAATACACCTACAATCTGGATCTGTGATAGTGTGCTTTTCTTTGTGGTTGTGGCCTACAGATAAGGCTAAGAAATGCAACTGTATTCATGCCTGCGTAAAGAACAAACTTTGTTTTCCCGAGATCATTCATCAGCTCCCCTTGGATTGTATAACATGGGATTCATTCTCCTGGGAGAAAACATACACGCGCACACACCAGCACACAGAGTCTTCATGTACGCTCACAAACACCTCATTCTGAGAGACGAGAGGAAAAGGAGTGGGAGGATTTCCCCCGCTTTCCTTATTTTCTGCTTACATGAGGTCATAGTGACCATCAGGCTTAACAATCACTAGACTGGATCTAGACCAATAACATCATGTTGCTGTCCACAACAGGAAATACAACGTACTTTCAAGAAAACTAAAAAATGTCAAGAAAACAAAGCTAAGGATGAAATAGAGGTTATGAGTATTATGTGTAAAACCACTTAAAAGTTGTAACTACAAACTAAGTATTTGCTTTGTTATATTTGAGTATGAAGAATCAAGTAAAGAATCATAATTATTTGAAGATCACAGTAATTTAATAGACAAACTTCCATTATGGGGAGTTTTGATCTTGTTTACAGTATATTGCTGAACTGCGAATGGTATTTGTACAAAAGACAAACAAAAAGGTTACATGAAATAAACTGATTTCAGGAGACAACATACAGATACTTCATTTTTAGCTTTTCACGTACAGATGATATTATTATTTCAAATATGACCCACGCTTCTTGTGAATGTTTCACTGAAGACGTTGTACAGACCCAACAGTTTATGAAAAAGCCAGTAATATGTATTGATGCTTTGTGGTGGTAGAAACTGCAGTGGAAGGGATCAATCCAGCTGTTTGTTCAGCCCTGTTTTGCAGCTGCTTTGGCTGCCTGATGGGCCAGTCTCTCCTCCTCAGCCCTCTCCCTCATCTCTTTCTCCCTTCTGATGAGCTGCTGCCTCTCTGCCTCCCACTCCCCCACCTTCCTCTGGTACTGCTCCATGTCAGGGCCCTCTGCTGAGGCCAGGCTCTGCTGGACCAGGCTGGAGACCAGCACCTGCAGGGGACTAGGGTCCACCTTACCCCCGGACTGGAGCTGCCCGCTCAGATCCTACGCAGGGCCAGAGGAGAGGTGGTGGTTAGAGATGGGGTGTATGGAAAAGGAGGGATTAAGGCCTAGATTCAATCAGATCAAGCGTTAACCGGCGATAGCAGACACCCGCATAGCTGATGTTTTGCCGGATTCGGAGGTGTAACTGCGTTGGAGCTATCAAACCGGTGAGCAGCTGCTCTTGTGATCGTCACAATGAGGATTTCTATCAGCCTAATCAAGGAGTAGGCCTAGATTACATCACACATTCCAGTGTTCAAGCTGGTAAGCACGGCTGCATAGGATTCCTACTAATGCGACTCGGTGCAGCCAATGGCAATGTCCGTGATAGTTATGCCGGAAGCCGCTTGTGGATTGAATAGTTCTAATGCGGTTCCACCTCTGACACCGTCAAAACACATGCTATGCGGTTGTCGGCTAGCGCAACTCTAATTGAATCGAGCCCTAAGTGTAACTGTTGTTGTAGATTATGAGTGCTTAATAGCAATTTATTCAACTGATCAAAACAAGAAATCTGTAACCATAACACAACATACATGCAGTCTATACACAGGCTCTTTCCTTGTTTGATTGATCTTCCCTTTGTCCAGTACCTTAAACCTGCTGGCATAGAAGGGTAGTTTATCTCTCTCTGCCTGGTCGTCCTCATCCACCTCCTCCTCTTTCTTCCCCTCCTCCTCTCCTCCTGACTCCTCCTCTCCAGAGGAGGAGTCTGAGGCAGAGGACAGGTCCTGCAACAGACCCTCCAGGTAATCCACCTAGGAGAAACACACACACAGCACAGGTGTAAGGAAACACACAGACGCAACTGGGACAGGCGGACGTGCACTGACAGACAGACACAATAACTCTGGAGCAATGAGCATTCCCTCATAGGGGTCCATCAGGACAAAAGACGGACACAAAAACAAACAAACACACGCAGACAATGACACACACACAATTAATATTTCCTGTCTGTCCTGACCTACACAGAGTCATCAGTTCTGACACTGTCCTGCTTTCTGGCAAACCTGGTTTGTGTTGACGTGCGTCTGGGTATAAATAACACAGATATGACAGTCTCAACACTAAGCCCTGGAGATAAACCCTCAGACTGTGTCATACACTGTACCTGGAAAGTAACAGCTATCTACTGCCACCAGGTTGGTGTCATATGCTCATTGTGTTATTTGTGGCATTTGATGAGTAAACTGAGATTGTAAACAATCAGCTAAACTGTACAGGCTTCTTATTCATGGTAACGCTTTTATAATGAGTTACTCTTATACTTGTATAATGTGTTACTAATTATCTTGTTAGTGTTAGACACTGATTTAGCAATTGTAGAAAGTACAGTACTGAGACAGGTATTGGTAAGTACATACAGCATCCTTTGCTAGTTTGCCATCTCCAGGAGCGGCAGCTACTCTCTCCATGACGGCCAGGGCCCGGCCCAGATACCCTGGGGTCCACATCAGAGGCATGCCCCTGAACACAGCATGGATCCCTGCCGCCATTTCCACCTTACCTAGAGACAGACAGAGAGAGAGAGGAGCAGGAAGAGGAAACTATCAGATGTGATCAGCACAACATGACAACCAGAGCAAAGATCCTGTGGTTTGGAGATGTTGATTTAAATGTTTGACAAGAGGATAAAGCAGGGATTCCTGAGAAATCATCCCTCTGCTATCAACAAATGGTTAGGAAGGGCTATGGCTTGTTTTAGTACCAGGAGTATGGTCTGACTGGAGGAATACATACCTAGTAAAGCACAGCCCAGCAGTTGAGCGCTGAGGCCTATAGAGTTGTCCTGCTTCAGACCAGATATCATCAGTGATGCTCCCAGAGCCCTCTCTTCTGACACCTGCACAGTCAACCAACACAAACACACACTTATGCTTCAGACAACATTTGCAAATAGCATAATGAATGACTTCCACAGAAATACAACTGTGGCTGCTAAATGTAAACTGCGAAATGTTGCACTCATCTTTTCCTACTAGCACTGACAGGTGATAAATACTTTGTTGAGGGAAAATCTACTTGCTGCGATTGTGATAAGTTGTTGTCTCACCTAGCTATCTTAAGATGAATGCACTAATGCAAGTCGCTCTGGATGAGAGCGTCTGCTAAATGACTAAAATGTAAAAAATGTCAATGTAAATATCCATATTTTTCTATGTGAATGATGTTGTGCTGGGACCAGACTGACCTTCTCTACACACATATGCCTATGCCCTCCTTACGTTTCCAACAATCATTCATTTCTACACAATCCAGACACTCCATGTTCTTTGGCACGATAACTTCTCCAGACAAGTTGGTACACATAAATTACAGAGCAGTGAATGCTACTTTACTTACGCTGAGCTCTGGTTTGGTTGCTAGGTAATTGCTAAGTGCATACACGGACAGGATCTGTGTCGTGGGCAGATCAAAAGACTCCTGAAGCATCACCTCTTCCACGACAGAACAGGCACCTGCAGAAGAGGAACAGCCTAGTGAGGTTTGAAGCTACTTGTCATCTGTGTGTACATTGGTTTAGTTTAACTGAGGTTTTCCAAAGGGGGTCTTGGATAACTTTACAGTTTTACAGATATTACAGTTTCAGAAGTCAGAGACTCTTTACCTTTGAAGTCTTCATCTTTTATGAAGGAATCTATCAGAAGGTTGAACGTGAAATCATCTGGGAACATTCCATATTGCACCTAAATACAGAAACAGAGAATGGTTAAAAACTTTCCAAAAGAACAATATTATAGTCAACCTCAATTTCTGTGTGTGGAAAACATTTAATCACAGGTAAGACATTTAACTTGTTTAGTATAGTCTGTTTGTAACTTCAGTCACTACTTGTAGCTGTATAATCTGTTTGTGTTGTTGGTCTTGGGTAGCTTAATGTTCCGGTCGTTAGCTAGATAGCACTCACTCACGTGGCTGCTAGCACCGTCATGAAATGGGGCATAAGGGAAGCCCTACAATATTTTTTAGTAGTGAGAACGCACAGGAGCAGGCAATGTTGAAACGTTTTTTAACATGTACTTTTCTTAAATGTCAAGTTTTTTCTGTGAGCCAATGGGGTAACCATAGGTTGTTTTCACCATTCACATTCTATCTAATACCGAGTGGGACTATGGCTCTGCTTAGCATAATGTAGGCCTACCTTGTTCTTGAGGGTGTGCAGGGCCTTGTCTCTGGCCCCATATTTGAGACACTGTCTGACCCAGCTATGGACAGTCCAGTCTCTGAGGTACCAACAGTTTGGGCTGTGGCGAAATCTACAGGAGAGAGATGTTCAGACATAAAACACAACAACAAACAAGACATGAATGTTTACGACTTCTGTTATGTCATTATTATGACGCCTTTATGCAGCATGGGTCAAGTCAAGCGTAACCGCTTAACCCATAGGCTTGCAATGCAATATTCTTGTTAATCTTGTAATCACATAAGAAACAGATTCCTGAGGAGGGGAGAACAGGGAAGCTCTTAGACAGCACAGAAACACTGAACAAAGAAACATGCATGTGACTGAACATAAACACACCATAAAAAACTTTGGAAGAAAATAGAGGTCAGAACAGAGGTTTAGCCTGCGACTGAGGCCAGGAAGTGAACACCCTAACACAGAAAGAACATAACAGAGCATGCAAATTAGGCTTACTTATAAAGATAGTACTCTGCTTGATCAACCTCTTCTCTTGACGATATGTTGTCAACAAACTGAAAAAGAAAATACACAGATATGGTTATTATTTCATCCCGTTGCCTACAGTTTGATCAGAACATAAATCATGCTAATCATGTTATTTCCATCTTAGCCAACATGTCATTGGTGTACCAGATATGACAATGAAATAGTTAGCTACAGCAGAAACAGGTTGACAGACATACAAGCTCCAAGGGTGAAATCTCTCGGTCCTCTAACATGCGCTTACCCGTGATATTGACAGGGAGCTGACGGGGAAGTTTCGGTCATACGTCCTATCCATCAAGGCGGCCAACAACGCTGTAGGATGACATGTTCATATTCAGCTTTACTTTCACAAGAGCTAGACTTGCTGAAACTTTCTGACATTTAAATGTTTTTACAGTACTAATGACACAGTACAGTATGTCAATGTGTAGCTAACACTGCCCCCCTGTGTTCATTTGGTGCAGACACTCACAGACATTGTCATTGACTTGGCAGTTACATCTTCAGGTAGCTACTTAAACACAGAATAACGAATATATTCACTCGTAGATCACTGGGTCTCCCAAAACTAAAATGTAACTGATGTCACGTCCACTTGACAGCTAATGTGTGACAGATGTGGTTGAGGCCCACCTTTCATTTGTTGTGATGGGTAGGGACAAAGAGAATTGTTAGCAATCAGTGTCTTTGGGTAGCTATCTTACCCAGATTTTGATGATCTTTCTCTCTTGCGTCCCATAATTTGGAGTCTGTGTATGCTGAGGAAAGTAGACATCTTTTGGCTGTAGGACATAAACAAGAATAACCACAAGTTACATAGAGTAGACAATGGACTCTGAAGGTAACATGCACAATGCAATTTATTGCGATTACAGTACAAGCAAATACTAAGTTAAATTTTGAACAAACGGGATAAGATGCATCTTATTTAGCTAGTTAAGAGTTAGGCTACGTCAGAATGGGTTCATATAGGTAGCTAGCTAGGTAGCCACCTGGCTAGCCTGCTAGCTACTCGCCTGGCAAAACACAAATAGTTCGGACAAACAGTGAATCAATCAATGATAGAAAACGTTACTGACTTAAATACTTATTTTTTAGTATAAAAACATGTACCTATAAATCTGTGACTTCCACATTTATGGATAACTTTGACAGCTCCTAAACAACGTCGCAACGCGTAGGCTGCCATCTTGGGAAGATACCAATAAATGACAGAGGGGAGCAACAATGTTGATTGAGAGAGAGCCTTACTCAAATACATGTTTAATGCGAACCGTAACACCATGAAAAACAGCATATGTAATACTGAAATAGAAACGATGTTATTTTTTCTAAATACTATAATCATGTATGTTTAATAAAAAATATCAAACATAACATTAGAATGAACCCCTTTCTATCTATTGGTACGGCCTCAAGCGCCTTTTATGGTGAACATCCAATGTCAATTGTCCCAGTGGCAAATTCATTGGTAATATGATCAAATCCATCAATGACTGCAGAGTCCTTCAGACTGATGATGGCTCCGCTCCAGTTTAATTTATGGCTCTTCCAGTTCTTCCAGTAAAGGGCAACGCTGATCCATAAAACCCATAGAGATAGATAGAGAACTAATCTTTATATCTGTGCCATTATAGTGTCTGTGACCTCATGGGCAGCGCCATTGAGGCTACAACCCATAGGAATCCCACCAAGTTGACTACTTTGACTATTTTAAAATGACTCAGGCAAGCCCTGAATGGCGCTGCCTATGCTAAAACGGCCTTTTGGCCACTACAGGCCTCAATCATTCTCTATGATAAAACCACAGTTTCTAAACCATATTTGATATAACCCTACTGAATCAAACGGAATGGGAAACACTGTAAACTTTGGTTTAAAAACATAAACACCATTGTAATGTTAGGATGGGAGATTATGATGAAATTATCAGAGTCTTATTTATTAGGCACCAATAAGAAATTATTATTTAAAAACAGTTATTTTTATTACGTTGTGCCTAATGAATACGACCCTGATGTCATACCCTGCTCTCTGTCAACTGTTCAGATACTGTGGCTGCGGATGAGCAGAAGAAACAACAGACTCGCAGATCTCAGCTGCCCTAGCAAAACTATTTTGATTCCTCTGCAAAAAAGGACCCAAAAAGTACTTGTATAAGTATCAATACCAACTTATTTCAGTGCACCTTCCACCTCTCCACTAACCCAGAGCAAACAGAAGAGGGAGACAAACACATCCTCTTCCTGATTTTTTATCAGGCCACTGTAGGCTACAAATTCTGAAGTGCATTCTGCTGTGTATAGTGTATCATTATTTTGACTAATCACTGTGCTGCTCATACAGCCAGTGTAGGATATACTGCCCTAACTGTATTACAATTGACACAATAAGAGTTACTGTAACTAATAACAAAAAAAATGCATCCCACCCTGACTCCACCACTCAAATATAAGCTACCTCAAATTTAAGAGATAACGCCCCCCTTTAATGGCCTAATCTTCTCTGAATCATTTAAATACTATAATTTACCAATACAAAGGTAATGCATAGGCCAGGCCTTTCTAACCAAAGACCATATGGCTACAAAAGTAGCTTCTAATGTATTTGTGTCAGATCATAGTCCTTCACCTTGAGCCAATGTTTTTATATTCAAAACATAGTGTAATCTATTTGTTTACTAGGGGACGCTCCTTGACCGTGATTATGTGAACTTCTTGGCCCAAGGTCTAGGGAGGTGATAGGCCATGTCCTGGGTGGGTCTCTGTTATTAAACAAAAGCGGGAAGAATTTCTGCACCCTTTAGTACACTGACCACCAAAACAGGAAGTCCTTACCTGAGAACCGTGCCAAAGAGAACACACAGGAAGTTAACCGTTTTAGCAACACTGGGGCTGCAGACAGAACTCTGTCTCTCATCCCGAGACAGACATTATGGCCTCTGTGAAACTTTAAAAGGAGAGCTTTGAGTTCCAGCTGTGTGTTCCTGGCAATAGTGAATGAATAGAGGAAGAGAGGCTACACTCCCCACTTAGTCTTACAACATTTACATAAAGGCCCTACAGCATCGTCTCTACACATTATGCATTGATTCAGGTAGACGTGATACGATTTATCCTTGCAGTTTGATATTCTACCAGGTTATGAGTATTTACCCTCTAAGTCTAAAAAGGTTTTATCTCAGTGACTGTGAGGTGGAGATAAAGAATCCAGAAGTAGTATTTTTCAGTACCAAAATTGTCTTTCATCCCGTAAACCAGTTCCTCTTTATTCTAAGATAGATTTAGCCTGATTTGTGTGTACACTGTACTGTAAAAAGTATTTAAATGTATGCATTCACTACTGTAATAAGAGCATCTGCTAAATGTAAAACTGCAAAGTTCAACTGAGCCAATCATGGTGATTACAGATTAATACATTATTGTTACATTTTAGTAGACACTCTTATCCAGAGCGACATACATGAGCAGTTAGGGTTAAGTGTATTGCTCAAGGGCACATTGACTGATCGTTCACTTAGTCGGCTCTGGGATTCAAACCAGTGAACATTTGCTTACTGGCCCAACGCTCTTAATCTCTAGGCTACCTGCCGCACAGATTATAAATACATAATTCCGGGCTGCACACTGACACACACTCAGGATATGAGTCAATACTTCTAAGGTGTAGACCAAAAGGACACACTCATACATAACAAACAATATAAGGACTACAAAGACCTAGTTTATAGCCTGCAGGACTACAACCCAGTTTGGGGCTCTGATGACGGTTAAAACCGAGGTGCAAGGACACAAACATCCCCATGAGAACAGACAGACCTGGCCAGCGGAGAAGAAAGGAACTGTACTATTTACATTGAATAAGCAAGAGGAAGAGTCTGTGTTTGAAAAGAGAAGAGGTTGTATCAACCACTTCAGATAACATCCTAACCATAACACATTAGGTAGAGAGACACAACATGGTACTCTGTAGTAACTGCTTGCAGCTCTAGCTGTTGTGGTTCAATACATTCACCAAAATGTATCTGGCTTTGAAATCGAATTCAGCTTTGTTATGGTGATTGATCCTGGTTCATCATGAGATTAACACCATACTACCTGATTTGTAAAAGCGTAACCTTTACAGACCAATCACTAACGGCCACATCAACCTTTCTTCAGTCACAGGACACATTTTCCCATCAGAGTGAGTGCCTCATTTACCGGAGTCCCTTATTCCTGACTCCCCCAACGGTTTCACTTCAGCAGAACCTGTGTGAGAGTGAACACCACTACCTCATTGAGAGGTGTTCTCTCTGTGGTCTATCTGGAGCAGGTAGACGTTGCCCTTAACTGCTGATCTATAGTCAGTTTTTCATTTTCCCCTCTCATGACTAAGGTTCGGATTGGGGGAAGTTGAGCTGATCCTAGATCTGTGCCTAGTAGGGGTAACTTCTACACTTCTCTGTGTTTCCTTTCCATGTCATTTAGCCGGCGGTTTGGATCTAAACATTTAGGTGAGGATAGAAGAGAAGAAGAGGAGGATGTGAGAAGTTCCTCTTGCCGTTTGCAGTTTCATACATGGGATTTGGTGGTCTCTCTTGATAGAATAGGGAAGCATTGCTACTTTGTTTTCTTATTTTAAAAGTAATGTCTAGCACTTTACCGGAGATGACATAAATGGTGGGTTGGCTGATGCAAATGTCAAATTATCAACATATCAGTGATCAATAGCTGGCCTTGACCTTCAGGTCAAATAGCACAGTGGATGACAAATTGGTCTTTAATCGCAAAATAACACACTCCTCCTTTCCTACAAGCAACAATAAAATGCTTTATTCTGAATCACATGTGAGGGTTCTGGAGGCGGGTTGTCTGGGACACCCACAGAGTCTAGTGAACGATTGTTTGATCGGGATGTAAAAGAGGTATGGGGAGAGATGTTTTCTCTTCCTCTTCCTCTCCTTTGTGAGAGAAGCGAGAGATCTCTGTTCTCCAAGAAGAAAGGCAACTCGTTTGAAAGTCATTGTGATCATCTCTGATTCTGTATTGTGTGGTTTTGGAGAGGAGGAAACGTGACAGGTGGATGATGCTGAGTCCCTGGGGGAAGAGGAGATCTGAGTCTTACACTCTTATACGTCTGTTATTAGTCTAGATTGTAAATTGGCTAAAGCTGAGACAGACTGGCCCCCATGTGAGGCCTAAAATTCAATTTTAATTATTCTAGTGTTAAGTTTCTCTCATCATCAGGCATACTGTAGTTGCTATAGAAGGCACATTTGGATGTATACAGTAGATCAAAGGCAATCATCATCAGGCCATTCAGCCATATACACAATTCTTTAGCACAGTCATACTGAGAGATGGAGTTGACAAGACAGGAATGGACTACGGACAGACTACTATACTCAACTCATTAGCCTTCATACCCTCCCAGTAAGCAAAATGGCGTATTTTCCAGACGTTGAAATTAGGTTAATTTTAGGCTCTGAATGAAAGTTGAAAAGACATCATTAACAGACATTGAAAATATAAAACCTTTTTGTCATTGATTCTGTGTTTACATTTCTACTACACATACATCCTCAATGAAGTAAGCATTATATCACAATAATATGTTTTATCCATTTAATATAGGAAAGAGGAGCTAAAGGAAAGAGGAGCCAACTGAAGATTGCAACATATAATATTTATTATTGTTCCCATCTGTTACATGCACTTATGTTAGCTTTCTCAAAAGTTTTAAAACTTGCAACAATGATTTTCTGAGTAATCCAGAAGAAACCAACAGACCACTTCAACTACAATAACATTTTCAGTAATGGTTACAGATGTTTAATTTTTTTGCTTTGACTGTAATATGTTGTTGTTTATCTACCTTAGTTGAATGCACTGACTGTAAGTCGCTCTGGATAAGAGCGTCTGCTGAATGACCAAAATGTAAATGTAAAAAAACAAACACTTGCAGAGCATGCTGGGTATTATTCTAATGAGCTTCACCCCCAAACAAGTACAAATCTGAACGAATCAAGGCTGGTCGAAATCTGAACGAATCATATACGTCTAGACTATGTTTCACAAATTTGAACAGCACAGTACAGTACGGCACAGTTCAGTACAGTAGAGCATGATTGGTTTAGTACTGGACCTAATCTGAACCAATCATAGATGTCTATGTTTGGGCCAAATCTAGTTCGGTCCGGACCGGACCAAAAATCTACGTCCGTGGATGTTGAAATCAAGTCCGATCCGGACCGCACCAAAAAAAGATGGCCTGCCCGGACAGGACCAAAAAAAGACGTCCAAAAAACGTCTGCGTCGGTCCGTGCTTAGTGGGCTGTGGTGTGCCTTCTCATTACTTTCCTCTATACATGTGACAACTTTGAAAGTGTATTCAAATTTCCCCCACAAAAATTATAAATACATATTACAGCACTTTTATTAATTTCAAAGTCTCTCATTAGATGAGATTACCTTTGTTTGCTCATTATATCACACAACAAAACAATTTACAGACCTAATAAAGCATCCAGTAGAAGATAATTTAAAACTAGCATTAAAAAGAGAAATAACTGTTATCACATTGTAATCCCATGCTGATTAATTATAGATTGACATGATTGGGGGCGGTAGGTAGTTTAGTGGTTAAGAGCGTTGTGCCAGTAACCGAAAGGTCGCTGGTTCTAATCCCCGAGCCAACTAGGTGAAAAATCTGTCGATGTGCCCTTGAGCAAGGCACTTAACCCTAATTGCTCCTGTAAGTCGCTCTGGATAAGAGCGTTTGCTAAATGAGTAAAATAAAAGTACTAGTTAAAAAGTAACAATTAAAGAAAAATCTATTTTCAAAACAATTGCATTTTATTTACAGCACAATTTCACCGTGATATCAACTAAGCTTTTCTTAAAGACACATCTTTTCACATGCACATGTATTGTCCATTCTATCAGCCTGAAATACAATACGCTTCACAGCTTATTCCAGTGCCGTAGCGCAGTTTCCACATTTTATTACGTTACAACCTTATTCTAAAATGTATTAAATTGTTTTTTCCCCCTCATCAAGCTACACACAATAGCCCATAATGACAAAGTGAAAACAGTTTTTTTTTAGTTCTATTAAGTTTTTTCAAATGTATTCAAATAAAAAAACGGAAATATCAGATTTACATAAGTATTCAGACCCTTTACTCAGTACTTTGTTAAAGCACCTTTGGCAGCGATTACAGCCTCGAGTCTTCTTGGGTATGACACTACAAGCTTGGCACACCTGGATTTGGGGAGTTTCTCCCATTCTTACATTTACATTTTACATTTTAGTCATTTAGCAGACGCTCTTATCCAGAGCGACTTACAGGAGCAATTAGGGTTAAGTGCCTTGCTCAAGGGCACATTTACGTCATTTAGCAGACGCTCTTATCCAGAGCGACTTACAAATTGGTGCATTCACCCTATAGCCAGTGGGATAACCACTTTACAATTCTTTTTTTTTTTGGGGGGGGGGTTGAAGGATTACTTTATCCTATCCCTGTTCTTCTCTGCAGATCCTCTCAAGCTCTGTCAGGTTGGATGGGGGGGCGTCGCTGCACAGCTATTTTCAGGTCTCTCCAGAGACGTTAGATCGGGTTCAAGTCCGGGCTCTGGCTGGGCCACTCAAGGACATTCAGAGACTTTTCCCGAAGCCACTCCTGCATTGTCTTGGCTGTGTGCTTAGGGTCGTTGTCCTGTTGGAAGGTGAACCTTCGCCCCAGTCTGAGGTCCTGAGCACTAGAGCAGGTTTTCATCAAGGATCTCTCTGTACTTTTCTCCATTCATCTTTCCTTCGATCCTGACTATTCTCCCAGTCCCTGCCGCTGAAAAACACCCCACAGCATGATGCTGCCACCACCGTGCCTGGTTTCCTCCAGACGTGACACTTGGCATTCAGGCCAAAGAGTTCAATCTTGGTTTCCTCAGACCAGAGAATCTTGTATCTCATTGGCTGAGAGTCCTTTAGGTGCCTTTTGGCAAACTGTGGGCTGTCATGTGCCTCTTATTGAGGAGTGGCTTCCGTCTGGCCACTCTACCATAAAGGCCTGATTGGTGGAGTGCTGCAGAGATGGTTGTCCTTCTGGAAGGTTCTCCCATCTCCACAGAGGAACTCTGGAGCTCTGTCAGAGTGACCGTCGGGTTCTTGGTCACCTCCCTGACCAAGGCCCTTCTCCCCTGATTGCTCAGTTTGGCCGGGCGGCCAGCTCTAGCAAGAGTCTTGGTGGTTCCAAACTTCTTCCATTTAAGAATGATGGAGGCCACTGTGTTCTTGGGGACCTTCAATGCTGCAGACATTTTTTGGTACCCTTCCCCAGATCTGTGCCTCGACACAATCCTGCAGCTGAGCTCGAGCCTCATAGCAAAGGGTCTGAATACTTATGTAAATAAGGTATTTCTGTTTTAGATTTTCTATACATTTTCTAACATTTCTAAAAACCTGTTTTCACTTTGTCATTATGGGGGTATTGTGTGTACAGTCATGGTCGAAAGAATGAGACAAATACTAATTTTCACAAAGTCTGCTGCCTCAGTTTTGATGATGGCAATTTGCATATACTCCAGAATGTCATGAAGACTGACCAGATGAATTGCAATTAATTGCAAAGTCCCTCTTTGCCATGAAAATGAACTTAATCCCCAAAAAACATTTCCACTGCATTTCAGCCCTGCCACAAAAGGACCAGCTGCCATCATGTCAGTGATTCTCTTGTTAACACAGGTGAGAGTGTTGACGAGGACAAGGCTGGAGATCACTCTGTCATGCTGATTGAGTTAGAATAACAGACTGGAAGCTTTAAAAGGAGGGTGGTGCTTGAAATCATTGTTCTTCCTCTGTTAACCATGGTTACCTGCAAGGAAACACGTGCCATCATCATTGCTTTGCATAAAAAGGGCGTCACAGGCAAGGATTTTGCTGCTACTAAGATTGCACCTAAATCAACCATTTATCGGATCATCAAGAACTTCAAGGAGAGAGGTTCAATTGTTGTGAAGAAGGCGTCAGGGCGCCCAAGAAAGTCCAGCAAGCACCAGGACTGTCTCCTAAAGTTGATTCAGCTGCGGGTTTGGGGCACCACCAGTGCAGAGCTTGCACAGGAATGGCAGCAGGCAGGTGTGAGTGCATCTGCACGCACAGTGAGACGAATACTTTTGGAGGATGGCCTGGTGTCAAGAAGGGCAGCAAAGAAGACACTCCTCTCCAGGAAAAACATCAGGGACCGACTGATATTCTGCAAAAGGTACAGGGATTGGACTGCTGAGGACTGGGGTAAAGTCATTTTCTCTGATGAATCCCCTTTCCGATTGTTTGGGGCATCCGGAAAACACCTTGTCCGGAGAAGACAAGGTGAGCGCTGCCATCAGTCCTGTGTCATGCCAACAGTAAAGCATCCTGAGACCATTCATGTGTGGGGTTGCTTCTCAGCCAAGGGAGTGGGCTCACTCACATTTTTGCCTAAGAACACAGCCATGAATAAAGAATGGTACCAACACATCCTCCGAGAGCAACTTCTCTCAACCATCCAAGAACAGTTTGGTGACGAACAACGCCTTTTCCAGCATGATGGAGCACCTTGCCATAAGGCAAAAGTGATAACTAAGTGGCTCGGGGAACAAAACATCGACATGGCCAGGAAACTCCTGAGACCTTAATCCCATTGAGAACTTGTGGTCAATCCTCAAGAGGGGGGTGGAGAAACAAAAACCCACAAATTCTGACAAACTCCAAGCATTGATTATGCAAGAACGGGCTGCCACCAGTCAGGATGTGGCCCAGACGTTAATTGACAGCATGCCAGGGCGGATTGCAGAGGTCTTGAAAAAGCAGGGTCAACACTGCAAATATTGACTCTTTGCATAAAGTTAATGTAATTGTCAATAAAAGCCTTTGACACAATGCTTGTAATTATACTTCAGTCTACCATAGTAACATCTGACAAAAATATCTCATAACACTGAAGCAGCGAACTGTGTGAAGACCAATACTTGTGTTATTCTCAAAACCTTTGACCACGACTGTAGATTGATGAGGAAAAATTTAATTTAATACATTTTAGAATAAGGCTATAACATAACAAAATGTGGAAAAAGTTAAGGGGTGTGAATACTTTCCAAATGCACTGTATTTGTCTTAATATTAACAACATTTGAAATATATATTTTTATCACACCATGAAAGGAACAACCAATTTTGTTTATTTTTTCATAAAATGCAACTAACTGGATTTATGTCAACTGTGTCAGACACCATAAAAGGCATTTCATTTTTACAATTGTTGTCCCACAAGTGTTTAAAGGTCTTGATTGTTTAATTCTAACATTAGATTATTAAAATATATAATACAAATCTCCAAACTTCTTTTTGTTTGGTTATATAGCAATATTAAATGCTCCAGGGATAATTTCGTTAGCATTTTGGCATGTTTTTCTAGATTTAAAACAACATTTATAAAGCAAACATTATCTCTAAGGTCTTGCGGGAGTGTGCGCTACACCAGTGGCTTATTTGAGTTACTACTAAATTCTCTCCCCACCCTTTTAGAATAGCTCTCAACCCTCTTCTCTTCAGCACAGTAGCCTATTCACTAGTCCTACTCCTCATTTCACTGCTCTGTAGAAGAGGAACTGTTACTATCGTTATAACTCCTTACACGTCTGTATTCTTCCCTGCTAAAATAACGCCTAAACTGCTTTCTCTGTTCTTCCTCTACCCTGCTCCCAGCTCTCACCAAATCCTCCTCTTCCTCCTCATTAGGCCTTATGGTTTTTGTTAAGACCCCAGGGTCTGAGTGGTAGTCTTTTTCACATGGTTCAGGTGTGTCCATCATCTCCTCGCCTGGGTCAGAATGGTACACCTGGTCACCTATCTCTAGCTGGTCTGGGTCAGGCTGATACAACTGGTTACCTAGCTCGGAATCTGAGTGGTACATATGTTCACCTGTATTACCTGACCGTGGGAAACACAGCTTGTCACCTATATGGTGTTCACCTGCCTCTGACTCCGTTTCATACGGCTGGTCACCTAGCTCTGAGTCAGAGTCATACACCTGTCTACCTGTTACACAATGGTACAACTGTTTATTTGCATCACCTGGCTCTGACACAGGCTGATGGACCTCGTCACCTGCCCCAGGCGGGTACACCTGTCCACTAGTCTCCATATCCTGTCTGTACATCTGTTTAGCTGTCTCAGACCTGTACACCTGTCCCCCAGTGTGGTGCTGGTAGACCTCAGGGCTGTACTGGCTCCTGCTGTACATGCTCTCCTCCTCATCCTCCTCCTGACAGGAGCTCCCCAGGACGCTCTCCCCGTCTGACTGGGAGAGGCGCAAGCTGGGCCGCGGCAGCCTGGGCTTCTGGGAGAGGTCAAAGGGCTCTTCCTGGCTGTAGCGGGTCAGGAGACCCAGAGGGGCCGACAGGCAGAAGCGCCCCCGCCGCCTGAACACTGAGGGACAGAGACTCATGTTACAAACTGACTGGCTGATTCTGATTTAGCTTCAGGGTAGGAATGTTGTAGGATGTTTCAATGCAGGAAGGGAGGAACCATAAAATTAATTCCTCCATAGCCTTTAGTAATTACCTCTTGCATCCAGGCCCCTATCCATGATTCCATGTTTGACTTTCATGTGGCGGGTGAGGTTTCCCTTCAGAGTGAACTTGCTGGGGCAGTAGAGGCACTTAAAGGGCCTACTGTCAGAGTGCAGGTGCATATGGCCCATCAGGTTATGCATTCTGTTGAACTCCTTCCCACACAGCTGAAAACAAGGAAAAACAAAAGAAAGAAGTCAAATATGTGCTCACGGACAAACCAATAAGTATTTTTTTTTTTAACGAATATGGAACAGATTTATTTTCGGCCTAAAAATACTTAATCAGGGTCCTAGGAAAGAATTGTTAGTGCTTGAAAGCAACAGACAGATAAGTTGATAAACCAAAACCAGCATTTTGGCAAAGACATACTGTAATTATTCCTCAAATAAATCATTAAATAGCAACTATTGAAATAGTTTGTGTACACATTCCTTAATTACAATTTGGAAATTCCATTATTCCTTGAACCACATCCGTGGCAATTCATGGTGTAGTAAACACCATTCAAGGACAAAACTGCACGCCATGCAGTCTAAAACTGTGCTCATTGATTGAACTTTCCTTTTTATCCAACAACGAATGTGTTAGATGACTAATCCTCTCTGCACTCAGAGCTGTAATCGGAGCTAGATGTACTCATGAATGAACGTGCGTGTGCACACACACAAGCACACACAAGCACACACACACAGAGGAAGCTGAAGCGAGACAGGGCCAGAAGAGTAGGGCTGGCAACTCCTGCGCTGTCCTTCCTCTGCATTCTTTTTTTATTAGGGTGGTCCTTTCCTTCAGGAGGAGAGAGGGACTGTAAACTGTCCAAGAGGACCGTGAGAAAACAGGAAGCGTTCCCTCCAGCAACAGAGAAAGCGAGATGAAATCTATTTGCGTGGCCCATTCTCCCGGGAGGCTGGGGGCCATTGTTAGAGAGGCAGTTTGTGCAGCAATATCCTTCCTATGGACGAGGAGGGATCTCACTGCCAAATCCCCTCTCTATCTGCTATTTGCTCATCGTCTCAACCCTCCTACTGGAGAACAAGGTCACACAGTGTGGAGCTGCTTCAGAGTGTCTGTTGGCTTCATTAGTTTAAACGTGGTCCCACTTAACATTATAGTTCCCCAATGCTGGAAGGGGGGCCCCGAGTGAAAAAGTAACACATGTTACAACCCTCGTTCAAGTAATCAAGCAGGTAAAATTAGTCTGAGATGCAAAAAGACATGCAAGGCAGATAGCCTATAGTGGTACTATTGACATGTATCCACCAGATGTATTATCTTCAGATACCCTGGCTTTAAAAGGAGTTGTTGCATGTTGCAACTGAAATGTCATAAGAACGTTCACCATCAGAACACTCACCTTGCATTTGTAGGGTTTGATGTCAGAGTGGACGATCATGTGGGCCTTGAGGGTCTGTTTCTGGACAAAGCTCTTGAAGCAGAGGTGGCACTGGTAGGCCCGGATGTTAGTATGGATCAGGATGTGGCGCTTCATGTTGGCCAGGAGGGTGAACTCACGACCACAGATACGACACTTGTGCTCCTTCAGCCCCTGAGAGAAAGAGAGAGAGAGAAGAAAGAAAGAAAGAAAGAAAGAAAGAAAGAAAGAAAGAAAGAAAGAAAGAAAGAAAGAAAGAAAGAAAGAAAGAAAGAAAGAAAGAAAGAAAGAAAGAGAGTAATTTATTGTTGTTTGTTTAAATAACCATCATAGTGGAACATTTTCTTACATCTTGACAAGCAAGTCCGTCAGGGACAAGAAAGACATTGCAGCAAGATGTGAGCATGACAACAAGAGAGGGGATGACTTGTATCATCTTTTTTGTTTTAATAATAGGATTCTCACAATATTACATGCCTGGACTACTGTTACTGTAACAAGCCCTCACATGTGTCCTGGCTTCGCCATGTAGTACTAAAATACTGTTTGAAGCAGAAACAATGATATGCAATGATGCCCAGTAGTGTAAAAGCCATCATACTGTCATGAATATCCTATAGCAAATGAAAAACAATAACAACCAAAACCATTTCAAGTCAACAAATGGAAAGGCCCCTGATGTAGGCAAAGTGTCATGTCACCAATCAGCTGATACTGTCAACAGGTAAAGCCTACCTTAACACCCACTGACCCACGCTTCATCTCCACAACACAACACAACCTAGCCCTGTAAAGACATTTTCATCCTAACACACGTTGACATTAGTGGACATTAGTACTTGGACAGTATGAAGACCCCACCCAGCCTTACCTTATGTGTAAGTGTGTGTTGTTTGAGGTGATGGGACTGTATGAACTCCATGCCACACTCGCTGCAGATGTATGGCCGGATGTCTTTATGCTTCATCATGTGGTTCTGCAGCTGACTGGGATACTGGAAGCTCTTCTGGCACTCACTACACCTAGATAGAAAACAGACATTCACTACACCTGTACAGAAAAACAGACATTCACTACACCTGGACAGAAAACAGACATTCACTACGCCTAGACAGAAAACAGACATTCACTACACCTGGACAGAAAACAGACATTCACTACACCTGTACAGATAAAAAGACATTCACTACGCCTAGACAGAAAACAGACACTACACCTAGACACAAAACACAAACTCACTACACCTGGAAAGGAAACAGACATTCACTACACCTGGACAGAAAACAGACATTCACTACGCCTAGACAGAAAACAGACATTCACTACACCTGTACAGAAAAACAGACATTCACTACACCTGGACAGAAAACAGACATTCACTATACCTGGACAGAAAACAGACATTCACTACGCCTAGACAGAAAACAGACACTACACCTAGACACAAAACACAAACTCACTACACCTGGAAAGGAAACAGACATTCACTACACCTGGACAGAAAACAGACATTCACTACGCCTAGACAGAAAACAGACACTACACCTAGACACAAAACACAAACTCACTACACCTGGAAAGGAAACAGACATTCACTACACCTGGAAAGGAAACAGACATTCACTACACCTAGACAGAAAACAGACATTCACTACACCTAGACAGAAAACAGACATTCACTACACCTGGAAAGGAAACAGACATTCACTACACCTAGACAGAAAACAGACATTCACTACACCTAGACAGAAAACAGACATTCACTACACCTAGACAGAAAACAGACATTCTAAAGTGGCTTGGATTTCCTCCCACTACCTTGGGAGTCAACAAAAAGTTGCATGCATTAAATATCAAGTTCAAGTTCAAGTTCAAACTGAATATTAAAGAGAAATTCAGCCACTTGATGAAAATGGAGGTCCAGTAGTAACTGTACATCTTATTTATTAAAATCGGACACATTTTGGCATTAGAGCCTTCATCGGAGCGTTTGCTTATACCAGAGACCGTCAAAAACATTTACAGTTTTACTGTATAACTGTATAATCATACTGTATTAGGCGCATACCGTAGTAGACGTGTAGCCTTAGTTTATAAGGACTTTTATTTTAGTGTTAGGTACTGTAGGTCTTTTGAGTCTTTGGGGACTTTTATTTTGAAAGCAATATTATACCCAGAGGCACCTGCGCCTGCACGTGTCGGGAGAAATAGATGTCCCTGGCTGCTTGGTTGTCTTGGTCTGGAAACAACAAGTAATAGTTTCCTGTAATAATCCGCGTTTAATTTTTCGCTGCCGAGCCCACAACCAGAAATAAGGGTAACAGATGTATGAGGTAATGTGTTTAAACCAATTTTTGTACACTTTCTGGTTTAAAACCCATCTGGTGTTTCTGGGCATACGTACCTGTAGAGGGTGGGTCCTCTGTGGGCTGTCAGGTGTCTCTTGAGCTGGGCCAGAGTGGGGAAGTCCAGACCACACTCTACACACACGTTCTCCTGGCCTTTCTCATGCTTCAGCTCATGGGCCCGCAGCTCACTAGGATAGGCAAAGCCCCTCCCACACACCCCACAACTGGAGAGGAGAGATGAATAGATGTTTATTGTCCCAATAGATTTTTTGTCTAGCAGAAAGTAGACACTAACTTGCATGCATGAATCAAGAGTAATGAATGATCATATTTATAACTATTCCTGAACTTTAGTCTATCTTCTTAAAAGAAAATTCCACCCAAAAACTACATTTGGGTATTTGTTTCATTAGTCCATTGTTGATACCGTCCCAACATGTTTTGCATGTCAGCAATCACATTTTCAGAAATACAGCCGGTATGATGCATTTTGCATCATATGGGTGGAGTTTTCCTTTAAGTTTGAGTCAAAGACTGAAGGCATGTAATGTAAGGTCCTTGTTAATTAAATAATTTTCTTAGTTCTCAACTAGACTAACTAAACAGTATATCCTGGATGTGTGAAATGGAACAGACAGTCTAGACAAAGATCATCCCAGTACTGACCTGTATGGCTTCACATCACTATGCTGCATCATGTGTCTCTTCAGGTGGCTGGTCTGGGTGAAGGCTTTGTGGCACACCTGGCACTTGTGTGGCCGTGTGCCCTGGTGAGTAAGCAGGTGTGTGTGCAGGTGGCTGAGCTGCTTGAACAGCTTCCCACACAGGTGGCAGCCGTGAGGCTTGATCCCGCTGTGGCCCAGGATGTGTGTGACCAGGTTATACTTGGAGGTGTATGACTTCTCACATACACGGCACTTCCAACGCTTCTGGTCTCCCCCTACATCTACGTAGTAGCTGTCGTCGATGTGGATGTTGAGACCCAGCTTCTGAGCGCTGGACATCCCACCTCGGGGGCCTCCGTCTGGGCCACGCCGACTAGGTCTGAGGGCCTCTCTGGGGTAGAAGGCTCCAGGAGAGAGGTGCATGACAGGCCCAGGCATGAAGAAGGGGAAGGGGAGGAGGCTGGGGTGGAGAGGGGGAAAGAACGGGGGAGGAGGGTGGTGCAGGAGGAGAGGAGAGGGAGGCCACACAGGTGAGGGGCTGATTGGTTCCTGTTTCACCTGCACTGGGAGGCCCATAGGTGGATCATACCTGGACAGAGCCCTGCTGTGCAGCTGGAGCCGGGTCAGGTCGATCATACCTGGGATGGGCATGGGAGAGGGAGAGAGACGCGGGTGAGGAGGGAGGGAGAACGGAAGGTGGGAGAGATCAACAGTCCTGGTGTTGCCTCGACGCTCCACCTCCTCCATGTCTCCAGGAGTTGGGGATTTGGAACCCTCCATTTTGAGTGGAGTTCTTTTACGTTTTTGGGAGCCTTCCCTCTGGGTGTAATGGATGCCCTCAGAGCCAATGGGTTGATGGTAAGTCAGAGGACTGAAGGTGGCGCTGTAGGCCTCTCTGGTCGGGGAGAGGGAGTGTTTGGGGGGGTTCAGGTAGAATGGAGGTTGGCTCAGGTAAAGACTGTGGTGAGAGACAGGTCTCAGGTCTTCCCTAAGAGGACTCCTCTTGTCTGGTCTGAAACCTAGGACTTCTCTGTTCATCATTTACCTGCATGGGGAAATACAGAGAGGAAACCAGTTATTTATTTAAACTATTACAATATATTTACCATAGAAATGCTTCTTCAAGACCTGAAGAATAGGAAACAGCACTTAATCGAGAGTTATAGTGACACACCTATCGTGATGCACACCTACTGCACAGGTAGTAGTGACAACACAAATCGCTGTCCTCTGTTACACCTCTTTAATCTGTCACTTCTCTCATTTGTGCTGTCATCCCTTCTTCCTCTACCATCCATCCCTCTGAAATCAGGAACTAACGTTTACCTCTCCCTCCCGCTCACTTTTCGCTTCTCCCCCTCTATCTGCTCTCTGTTCATCTTTTTGCACGGATGGTTGGAAGGTTACTTCTCCTTTTGTCTTCCACTACTGCTCTACATATGATCTCTTACTGTGCTTTAGAGATCCACATGTTCCAAACAAATGGACAATTTGTAGGTCTGCATACTCTGCATTCTCTCTGAAGAGCCAATCAACTACATACACTAAAGAGTAGCCTATGTATGATCAGATTAATGTTGGAGTTTTTGTGGTTATGAACTGAAGACAGTTGGTGTGAGAGAGAAAGGAGATTAGCTGTGATAGAGTGAATCAGACAATGGAGATGAGTTGTGATAGAGTGAATCAGACAGGGAACTGTTCGACTTCTGCAGAGCAGCTAAAAGAGGAGGAGCAATACTGTTAATAATAAGGCTATTTATGTAAATATAGTGTGTGGGTTTCTGTGAACTGCTATCATTCTACAGCAGTGGAGGCTGCTGAGGGGAGGACGGCTCAGAATAATGGATGGAACAGAGCAAATGGAATGGCATCAAACACGTGTTTAATGTATTTGATACCATTCCACTAATTCCACTCCAGCCATTACCACGAGCCCGTCCTCCCCAATTTAGGTTTCACCAACCACCTGTGTTCTACAGAGCAAAACCAGTGAGATCTTCCAATGTTGATAGGGCTGGGGAACCGGATGGTGATGGTAATCATAAAATATAAAGATTAGGTCACAAATCAATTCTTGTTCATAGAAAGAGACAACAAATAGTCTACTCTAAGCTTCAATGTGTTATTGCATTCAAAGTGTGAAAATAATATCATGATGTGAAGTATACAATATTACAATATTATACACAGAACATGGTACAGAATGGAAAGACCCCTCTGTGGCTCTCCGTCTGTATGTCTGCCATGCTAGTGTGCATCCCCAGTGAATACAACACAACTCACACATTAAAACAAAAGCCCCTCCTCATCCCCCTGCCATACCCTACCCTGTTAGTCCTCTGTTGGATCTGAGGGACTCACCAGCTCAGTGTAGCTCAGCCTGTCTGTATTCTCCTCTGTACTGTGGCAGTAGTGCAGTAGCTGTGTATTAGGCTGAGGTGCCAGCTCCTGTGCCTGTCTCTCTGGCCACTCTGCTCCGCTCTCGCCCTGCTGCTGTCCTGACAATGAGCCACCCGTCCACGGACAGCATTTGAAGTGACTTAAGAAAGAGAACAGGAACAATCACTTTGTTCTCATTTTTCAGATGAGTACCTTCGGAGAGAAGGAAGGAAGGGAGGGGAGAGGAAGTCAACAAGCCTAGTGCCTTCCTGCAGAAAAATAAGGAAACCCTAGATAGACATCTTCATTTCTCTACAAAATAAGGATTTTACTTTGGGGGTGACTGGATGAGGCTTGTTTTTAACAATTAAATAGTAGTACAATGCTGTTTCAATATTGTGCATTCATTAAAAGGCATGCAAGTCTAGGAGAGGAGTTTTAGACTGTCAACACCAACAGTTCTGGGAGTCACTTTCACATTCCTGCTTTTCCCATCATGCAGGGTTAAACATAATAACACTGTATGTAGCTATGACATTAGTTAGTGCAATAATGGCTTCAGGAAATGTGTTTTGTGAAGCTGATGAATGCTTTGTGAATGCTCATGGTTAGGTTATCATTTCTATTTAGAAAGTTTAAGTGCCATGATGACATGTCTTCAGGATTCCAAGTCGTTTAGACACAAATCTAAATCAAAGTGAAGCTCTGTCTGATTTTACATATTTTATATTAGGGTATCAATGTAATGACTAGTAATATTAGAGTATTTCAAGGTATTCCTTTGTTCATCTGGTCTGCTTTACCCTCTTGGGTGATGGGGAGGTTTTCTGCAGGATAAACAGAAGGAGTGAGTTGAATCATGTAGGACAGTGTAACATGTAGTGAGTCAATACAGCCACATGGCGTTGGAGAACCTCACTGCACCATGGGAGAATAGCTCAGTTGTTGGCCAATATGTCTGACTGGTAGTCTACCAGGTGATAGAGCAGCAACACTATGAGTCTCTTCAAATCATCTTTAAAAGTGAGGAAGGATGCACATAAAACATATTTGAACTGGGCCATCATCAGTCTCTCAGTCAGGCCTATACTCAAGCATATAGACAGGTTTTTGGCAACAACACCCAGACTTTTCTTGTCTTACCTCACAATGATTAATCATACAAGAGGAGTGTTTACTATCTCTGAAAGGTTGCAAACGATGATGTCATCTTATGACACGTGTATGTACCAATCATCTGACGTAAACCAATTTGTATAAATCTTGACCCTGCCTTTCTCCATCAATAACAGGATTACTAATCCGGAAGGCACTAATTGAGCTCATCTCATTGGAAGAGTGAAAAGCCTTTAATAGGAAGCTGATTACCATTGTCTGTGTTAATGGACTCATTAAATCAATTAACCTAAGACCTCGACAATGTGTACTAAATCCTTTTAGATATTAGCAAGTTTATCAAGGTGACATATCAGGTATATCAGGAGTGTGTGTATGTGTGTGTGTGTGTGTGTGTGTGTGTGTGTGTGTGTGTGTGTGTGTGTGTGTGTGTGTGTGTGTGTGTGTGTGCATGTGTGTGTGTGTGTGTGTGCGTGTGTGTATACATTTGACCATGATTGTGTAATCATATTTATGTAATTATGGACTACGATAGCTGCATATTGTTGCTTTTTAATTAGCAAACCAAACAAATCTGAAAAACAAATCTGAATTTGATTTGAAGATTAAGTGATGCTTCTTGTTTCATAGCCAATAAGATCATAAAGTGCATTGATAAGAGATCCCCTAGTGGAGAATATCAGTAAGGTGTACAAATATGTCCAAATAGGTCTTATCCAACCACTTTATGATACTGCTTCCCAATCCTTGATCTGAAACCTATAGGATGTAGCCTGCCAGTCTGTCAGATAGTCAGCTGACACTGAAAAACACTGCTCACTGAAAAACACTGCTCACTGCTCTCCTCATCTTTCTTATAATAGGCCAAAGGTCTAGGTTCAACAAACCTCCCCAGCTACAAACTAAACACTTTCCCTCTGTCTCATTCTTAACCCCTCTCCTCTCTCACATGCATGGTCACGGACACAGGCCCTGCACTAATGACTGTCTCTGTGGCTTGGGCCGCGCCAGGCCACTATATGACTGTACCACTGGCCAGGCCTCTGCCCAGCCCAGCACTAGCAGGGGGAAGGGGGAGTAAGAGAGGCTCATTAATACACACCTTAAGTGGTTGTCAGGGGTCCGTGTCACTCCTGGAGAGACGGAAGAGGGTATATAAGAGGTCTGGGTGCCACTGAAGATATAGAACTTCAACATTCACCTGGGAGTCACTCCGAAACGAACAAACGCATTCGCCTTGTGCTGTACATCGGGAGATCAGCAAGTGAGCTTGTCTCTGTGGATATGTGTATAGGTGTTTGTGTGTCAGTCTGTCTCTGTGTTGTATGTCTTGTTTAGTTTGTTTAGATATCAGTGTTTCAGATTTGTACGATATTTCCATTTGACAGTGTAAGGGGAATGTTAGACATAATATTGGGACTCTTCTCCGTCAATGTCTGTGTCCTTCTCATCCCTTTCGCTCTTTCTATTCCTGATCTATCATTCTCTCAGTAGAGATGACTGGAGCCGCCGTGTCCGTGTGTCTACTTTACACCCTGTCTGTCTGTTCAGCCTGCTACATCTCCAACTGTCCCATCGGGGGCAAGAGGTCCATAATGGACGCTCCACAGCGCAAGGTGAGCCGCAACTGAATCTGTCTATATCTAGACTATTTAAATATAATGTGTAAATAACAGCTATGATTTGTCTTAGAGATGCATCAAGATGAGTAGAGGCAAAGTGGGGCTCTGTAAAAGTACTGAATTCTGAGATTTGACAATGAACCGTTATCTTCATGTAAAAGGGAGCAAGAATGTTGATAAGAATCTCTTTTTTTGGAATGATGGAACAACCTCATACCCGACTGTCCCTTCTCTCCCCCTGAAGTGCATGACATGTGGACCAGGGGACCAGGGCCGCTGCTTTGGCCCCAGTATCTGCTGTGGGGAAGGGCTGGGCTGCTGGATGGGCTCCCCAGAGACGGCACGCTGCATGGAGGAGAACTACCTGCCCACCCCCTGCCAGGCAGGAGGGAGACCCTGTGGATCTGATACAGGACGCTGCGCTGCACCGGGAGTCTGCTGTGACTCAGGTGAGGGCACATCAATTCTATATTTCTGTGATGATCCTTGTGGTTATATACCACTGAAATTGTTCTAATAGAGTGGTGGATACAATTCTGTGCTTTCTGACTTGTGTATCCTGCTCCATCCTTTATTTTGTATCTCAGAGGGCTGCAGTGTGGACCAATCTTGTTTGGCCGAGGAGGAAGGCAACAATCAAATCAGCCAATCAGAGGGCAACGACTCTGGTGACGTCATCCTCAGGCTCCTGCACTTGGCTGGCCACACCCCTCCTCATCGAGTCCACCAATGAGCTGCAAGTGACACCAGGGTTCCAATCACTTGAGAGATAGGTTGATAGGATTTGTAGTTCAAAGTTACCTAGTTGTAGTTCATTGTACAACCCACCTATTTCACCCACCCATTTACTGGCCTCCTTCTTCAGTATATTGGCAACCTCCGTGGATGGGACCTAGCTAAGAATTTAACATTTAATGTATTATCAAACACTGGAGTTAAATTCTTAGTTAGGACCCTGAGCACTCCTCTGTAGATTGCCTTTATATTGCATACTTAAATATTGTAGCTATGTACTGTATGTATAGAAATAGCTGTAATAATTATTACACGTGTAAAGAGTTCAAATGTGTATGTTAATAAAGCTTGTGATAGTATGCGTGGTGTATGTCTTTTTCTCTTTCATCTAACTCAAACAATTACCAGTTGTGCAATGACATCTACATCTGAAACATGAAATGAGTGGCTAAGTGCTGTGCATCATATAGTTATCATATTTACTGTAACATTAGGCTCAGTGTTTAGGCCTGTGCTTTTAAAAGCAACGTGTCTGTTCTACTAGTTTTAATTCAGTGGACTTTACTCTCCCTCACTGGCTGTCATTATTTTGGTCTCATATCACCCAAACATTTTGAGCGGATCTCCAGAAGGTAATTTAGAGTTTTTAATTTCCAATGATGAACCATAAACATAAAATGTAATTGCTGATTGTGATATGATATCCAAAATAGGTTGTAACCATAGGCATTGGGTGCGTTCGTAAATTGCCTCCAGTGTGTCAGAGTGCACTCTGGGTCATTCGTAAATTCAGAGCGTTTAGAGTGCACACTGGACGCTCTGGCCGAGGAGTAGGGTTGATCAGAGCGTTCTGACCTCACAACGGCTGTCAAGCACCCAAGCTAACTGGCTAAAGTTGGCTAGCTTGCTAGCTACTTCCAGACACAAATGAGAGAACACCTCACTCTGACCATTTTACTCGCCCTAGCAGAGCTGGTTAGGCTGTTTTCATGTTATCCAGAGCGTTAGTGACTGTAAATGTGCTGCTGGCAACAACTGAAATACTTTTCTTTGCCGACATTTACTGGCATCGGTCATGTTCAGCGGGTGTTGAGCGTTCGAAAATTCATTCTGTGCTCTGGCACAGTCAGACGAGAGTGCTCTGAAATCGGAGTAGCTAGCCAGAGTGAACTTACAAATGCACCCATCATGCTACATAGTAACCATTGACATCATGTTACATAGTAACTATAGACATCATGTTACATAGTAACCATATACATCATGTTACATAGTAACCATAGACATCATGTTACATAATTAGTAATCATGTAATTCTATAGAGAGGTATAGAGTATAACATCTAATCAGGGAATATATTAAAACGTTCCACCAAAAAAAAGGAAAAAATGAGCATAATTTAGATGCAATGAAATACTGATATGCTTTAATGTTTTGTGAATCAGCTTTTACTATTATTTGTTTGTTTATTTGAGTTTTTTTTTTACATTCTGCACTACATCCTGCAACTGGTGTAAAGTGTCCTTAAGTCTAGTCCAGCAGCTGGATCTCTCTCTGTCTACTATGCAGTAGTAGTTAGTGTCACGGATTCTGCCGAGGCTGCTCCTCCTCCTTGCTCGGGCAGGCTTCGGCGTTCGCCGTCCCCGGAGTACTAGCTGCCACCATTAGATGTTTCCATGTTTGATTCCTTTTGTCTGTCTGTTGCACCTGTGTCCGTTTGTGTCTGATTATGTGTCCTATAAGTTGCCTGTTTTGTGTTGGTTAGGTTGTGTGTTGTTATTTCGCCTGTCCGTTGGTGCTACGTGTTTTCTCTGTTTATCGTTTTGTTGTTTACGCACAGTTTGCGTAATCGCTCGCCTCTGTTCATTGTTGAGGCCGTTGATTGATTTTTTGCTTTGTATTGCACTAGTAAACTTTGTTGGACTAAGCTTCGGTGTCCTGCGCCTGACTCCCACACCACATTTACCTCAGCTCTTGACAGAACAACACACCATATGGAGTCAGCAGGAGCAGCGGCGGCACCCAAGTCGCTGGAGGATCGGATCAGCGACCAAGACACCATGATCCGGCAACTTGGGGCCGCCATGAACGAGGTGTCCAACACTCTGCGCCGATTGGTTACGGGAGAGGTGCCCACGCCTTCGCACACCTTACCATCACCATCGGTCAGTCCTCCTCTCCCAGCACCGGAACCCAGTGGCATTCGGCTCTCGCTCCCGAGGGCATATGATGGTTCTGCAGCCGGGTGTCAGGGGTTCCTCCTGCAGGTGGAACTCTACCTGGCCACCATACACCCGGCGCCCTCGGGATATGAGAGCGTCTCCGCCCTCATCTCCTGTCTATCCGGCAAGGCGTTGGAGTGGGCCAACGCCGAATGGAGGGGAATAGACGCCGCCACCATCACCTACGCAGAGTTCTCCCGCCGCTTCAGGGCTGTGTTCGATCATCCACCTGAGGGGAAGGTGGCGGAGGAGCGTCTGTTCCACCTCCGACAGGGGAAGAGGAGTGCACAGCAGTTCGCCCTGGAGTTCCGGACTCTAGCGGCGGATGCGGGGTGGAATGAGAGGGCCCTCATCGACCATTACCGGTGTAGCCTACGAGAGGACGTTCATTGTGAGCTGGCCTGCAGGGACACCAACCTATCCTTCGATCAGTTGGTGGACATTTCCATCCGTCTCGACACCCTGCTGGCTACCCGCGGACGTCCCGAGTGGGGGTCGTCCATTCCACCCTCCAGCACCTCCGAGCCGATTCCCATGGAGCTCGGGGGTGCTGGCGCTAGGGAGAGGAGGAGAGAGAACCCGAGGGGGGCCGTCCCCTGCACCAACTGTGGCCGTGGAGGACACACTGCGGCTAGGTGCTGGGGAGGGTCTCCTAGGAGAGGGGACAACAGGTCACGCACTGGGGAGTCATTTCAGGTGAGTAGGCGCCCCACTTACCCAGAGCTCTCTGTTGGTCACTTGTGTATACCTGTGAGATTTCCACAGGTGGCACCTCATTCCCAGCATAAGGCGCTAGTAGATTCAGGCGCAGCTGGGAATTTTGTTGATCGTGAATTTTGTTATAGGTTAGGAATTCCCCTTCGGCCGGTAGAAGCCCCCTTTCCTGTTCATGCCCTAGACAGCCGGCAGCTGGGGTCGGGGTTGATCAGAGAAGTCACAGCACCACTTAAGATGACGACGCAGGGGGGTCATGAGGAGATCATTCAGTTTTATCTGATCGACTCTCCTGCGTATCCCGTGGTGCTGGGGCTTCCCTGGTTAAGCGCCCATGATCCTACCATTGCGTGGCAACAGAGGGCTCTTATGGAGTGGTCTGCCCAGTGTGTAGGGAGATGTCTAGGTGTTTCCTTAGGGGCGACCTCGGTGGAGAGTCCGAACCAAGTGCCCGCAATGCGCATTCCCCCTGAATATGAGGATTTAGCACTTGTGTTCAGCAAAACGAGGGCAACACGGCTACCACCTCATAGACAGGGTGATTGTGCGATAGATCTCCAAACAGGAGCGGCACTTCCGCGGAGCCGTGTGTATCCCCTGTCTCAAGAGGAGACAGCGGCTATGGAGACTTACATAGCCGAGTCCTTGGCACAGGGATACATACGGTCCTCCACTTCCCCGGTTTCCTCGAGTTTCTTCTTTGTGAAGAAGAAGGACGGGGGTTTGCGCCCGTGTATTGATTACCGTAGTCTCAATCAGATCACGGTTAAGTACAGTTACCCTCTTCCTCTGATTGCGACTATGACGGAGTCATTACGCGGAGCGCGGTTCTTCACAAAGTTAGATCTCAGGAGCGCGTACAATCTGGTGCGCATTAGGGAGGGGGATGAATGGAAAACAGCATTTAGCACCACCTCGGGTCATTACGAGTATCTCGTCATGCCATACGGGTTAATGAATGCTCCTTCAGTCTTCCAATCCTTTGTTGACGAGATTTTCCGGGACATGCATGGGCAGGGTGTGGTAGTATACATCGACGACATCCTAGTGTACTCTTCTACACGAGCCGAGCATGTAGCCCTGGGTGCGCCGAGTGTTGAGGAGGCTGTTGGAGCATGACTTGTATGTCAAGGCAGAGAAATGCTTGTTTTTCCAGGAGTCCGTCTCCTTTTTGGGTTATCGATTGTCCGCGTCTGGTGTGAAGATAGAGGTTGACCGTGTGTCGGCCGTGCGTAATTGGCAAACTCCAACCACTGTAAAAGAGGTGCAGCAGTTTTTGGGGTTTGCTAATTACTACCGGAGGTTTATCCGGGGCTTTGGACAGGTGGCAGCTCCCATTACGTCCCTGCTAAAGGGGGGTCCGGTGCGTTTGCAGTGGTCAGCTGAAGCGGACAGGGCATTTGTTAAACTGAAGAACCTGTTCACTTCGGCTCCGGTGCTGGCGCATCCGGATCCCGCTTTACCATTCCAAGTTGAGGTAGACGCGTCCGAGGCCGGTATTGGGGCAGTCCTGTCGCAACGGTCCGGCACGCCACCTAAACTCCGCCCCTGTGCGTTCTATTCTAAGAAGCTCAGCTCGGCGGAGCGTAATTATGATGTAGGGGACAGGGAGCTGTTAGCTGTAGTCCAGGCCCTAAAGGTGTGGAGGCATTGGCTTGAGGGGGCTCAACACCCTTTCCTCATTCTGACTGACCACCGTAACCTGGAGTACATCCGGGCAGCTAGGAGATTGAACCCTCGTCAGGCTAGGTGGAACATGTTCCTGACCCGGTTTGTTTTTAAGATCACATACATCCCAGGGTCCCAGAACGGTAAGGCAGACGCCCTGTCCCGGCGGTATGACACAGAGGAGAGGTCCATTGAGCCTACTCCCATACTGCCGGAGTCTTGTCTGGTGGCTCCGGTGGTGTGGGAGGTCGATGCGGAGATCGAGCGGGCACTGCGTACCGACCCTACTCCCCCAGAGTGTCCGGTGGGGCGGACGTATGTTCCGCTCGAGGTTCGTGACCGCCTTATTTATTGGGCTCATACATCACCCTCCTCTGGACATCCAGGTATTGGCCGGACAGTGCACTGCCTTAGCGTGAAATACTGGTGGCCAACGTTAGCTAGGGATGTGAGGGTTTATGTCTCCTCCTGCTCGGTGTGCGCCCAGTGTAAGGCGCCTAGACATTTGCCCAGGGGAAAGTTACATCCCCTGCCCGTTCCACAACGACCATGGTCCCACCTCTCGGTGGATTTCGTGACAGACCTTCCCCCCTCCCAGGGGAATACCACTATTTTGGTCGTTGTGGATCGGTTTTCCAAGGCCTGTCGTCTCCTCCCAATGCCGGGTCTCCCTACTGCCCTACAGACCGCTGAGGCCCTATTTACCCACGTTTTCCGGCACTATGGGGTGCCCGAGGATA